AGCAGATGCTCCTGCGTCGTGCATGGCGGCCGAGATCCTATTCCACTGAAGTTCAGTGTTATTAGGACAAGACAGCGAGAGTTCGGTATGCAGTGCTTCTTGATAGGCTTGCCTGACCGAGGGCTGGGACAATTTCTCCGTTGCCAATCGGGGGAGACGCTTTGTGCGCCTTCCGGTAAAGTTCATGGAGAAACGACAGCGCACCAAGGCATGATCAGAGTCGACACAGGTACTCCAGTACGAGCGGCAATCCAGAATGGAACCGCGCCACCTGTAACTTATGGCTATGTGGTCAATTTGGGTCCATCGCTGACCAGCTACAGGTGGACGCCAAGTGGCACTTCGGCGCCCACTGTGTCTAAAAGCAGTGCTAGTAAGAAACAACTGGTGCTCCGCACACAGTTGCAGCAGACGCTCGCCGTTGTCAGTCCGTTCGGCGTTAAGTCCATAAATACCACCCAGCTGAGCTTTTGAAGAGCTCAGACGCCCTACTTGTGCGTTCATATCCCCTGCAAGTACTATACTGTCTGAAATAGTAGCACTGCGTAGCAGCGTGTTCAGTTCGTGATAGAAAGTGTCCTTGACTGCATTAGAACCGCAGTCCGTGGGAGTATAAGCAGAAATCACAAACAAACAGCGTTTTGTTTTACTTCGCGAATTCACCTTAGCTGATGTCGTCAAACGGGCTGCACATAAACGGCTGTTCACCGGAATCCAATCAACCAACGATGACTCAGCCTTGGAGCTGAGAATGATACCTAAACCAGCTTGACCCGTGAGTGCCGCATCGGCGTCTCCGGATGCGTGCAACCAATAACGAGAGGATAAGCCGGGTGCAGTGAATTCAATAACCCCGTTAGGGTCATTAATCCTATTTTCGGACACACAACACACATCAACACCCAATGTGTCCAAGGTGCGTGCGAGTGCAGCCTGCTGACCTGTTTGTCTTAGAGTGCGGACGTTGAATGTCGCCATGGAAACGGGACAGCGTGGCCTTATAAGGGACTTTTGCCGATAGGTGCTGTGGGATGGTGGCTGCAGATGGTTCTACTCCAGTAGCACTTCGGTTGCTGTCAATTAAGCTGGGAATTATAGAAGGAAGGTTAGTAATGGGGGCCGGGATGGGAGTAAGAGAAAAAGGTGGAAAAGAAAGAAGGGAGGCGCCAGCAGTAGCATGTTTTCGCTTATCCGCCCTGCTGTATGCAGCAGATAAGGCGACCTTTGATAATCTGCGCGACGGCAGATGCAGGATGAAGTTTATGTTTGAAGAAAATGTCATGGTTGTATGTGGGGTGGGATACTGCCAGGGCGCTCAGACCTAGACAGGAGAACGATTAGGGTCCTCATCCAAAGCCTTTGGCTCAAAACCTGTCCGCAAGGCAGCGGGGCGGCAGTGATTTAGTTTTACAGAAATGGACGTCATCGCATTTCAAACCCCCAACCTGGAGGATCAGGAGACTGAGTTTGTCTGACCTCTCACCATTGACCAACCTGGTAGGAGTAGCTCTCAAGATGCTCGGAGGCATCACCCAGTATAGCTCAATGGGTCATTGAGGTACGCAAACCGTCGCACCACGTTAAGGTCCAGTCTCGTTGCGACGGGCAGGGCACCCACACCTGACGGGAAAACGACTTGGGTCCTCAGCCATAGCTTTCGATTAAATGTTTGCCCGAAAGGTAGCGGGTCTAGCACATGGTCAGTTCATTGACTCATGCGGATTGGTGTCCTGGATGTTGGCAAGGAGAAGAGCGAAACCCAACTCCCACCCAGGACATGAGCAAATGGCACAACAGTAGCAGCAGTGGGTAGACCATCTGTCAGGATCTAGCCACCACCAGCCTAAGCGCACCATAGGCTCTCCCGCCATATATATATATATATATATATATATATATATATATATGGGTAATCTGATTACAAATAATGTGCTATCACAACCATAGCGAAATAAATGAGGAAAGCGACGTGCAGCGTGAGAAGAAAACGACTTTTTCCGTTTTACACGCGCCGTTTTAAGATTTTTTATGTTTCAGAGCTTTATATTCGTTGATACGTTGGGTAATAGATAACGCAGTTTAACAGCGCTACACTAAGGCCATCAGCTGATGTTCATGGGCCATATCGCGTAGTGTAAATGTGTCAAGGTGTCGTTGACGCGTTTTCTTTATATGTATAAGGTGAGGACATTGATTACATGTGCCGAAAGGACGTTCCAGGGCTGTGACACTCGGAGGGTGCAAAATTTTCATCGACTTCACAGTCGGCTGTACTGCGTGGCCAACTTAAACTGGTGACCCCTCAGTCTTAGCTGATTTTCAAAAGATAGCATGTGGGGTTGGGTTTTTCTTGAAGGATCTGATGCACGAATAATATCCGTTGTAGACTTTTAGACTTTTCAACCTAAGTGGGAAGGGAAGGCGGGACAAATCTTTGCCGTTCTTTGTCGCTCTGCGTTGTGCAATATCGAGCGCAGCGAGCTGGTGCTTTTGTCAGGGCTTCTACGCTTGGATAGCGTATTCCTCATGCGGCCTCACGTACGCGCCAGGCATCTTCGGAAAGTCAGGCATCGAACTCTCCTAACGCCTTACGAGCTTAGCCGCATTGCTGGTTTGCTTTGTTTGATGCCTTTTAAGTTTACTACAAACAGCCAAGGTCATCTTACTCTAGAACGCCGAAATCGCACTCATGAAAAGCTTACCGTAGGCTTTTGGACCTCGCCGGTAGTTGGTTACTCTGATGGCATATACTCAGGACTTTGCACTCGGCGTCGTTGAACTGCAACATGTTCTCGATGAACTCTGCGTATGCTTTATCCATATCATCTTGTATGGTTGTGTGGTCCCCCACTGTGGTGATAGCACGCCATATCTAGACCGTCGGCGAACAGTAAGAAATTTGAAGATGGCACCGTCACGAGATCATTTATGCGGACCATGATCAGGTGGGAACCGAGTACCGAGTCCTGAGGTACGCCGCACTGGACTTCGATTGGTTCGGAGAGAGGGCTGCGAATCTTCACATTCAGGTGATGTTGAACGACAGTCGCCCATCCACCCCAGAACGGGATCGCCAATTCAGTAATTCTGAAATTTCTGAAGTGGAGTGCGATGGTCCAGGCGGCCGACTACCTTTGCGAATTCCACATAGATGACATCTACTCCTACGCCAGCATCCACAGATTCCGTCCAGCATGCACGAGCTATCCTCGTTGTTGTAGTATATTACCGATTTTGGTGAAATCCGTGCTGCTTCCGAGTACTCTCCAGTTACCCCATGAATGCCTCAACGACGATTGGTTCCATGATCCTAGAGATCACCGAAATTTGTTATCGGGCGATGATTCATTGGGTCTGCACAGCTACCGCTTTGTAGATCGGGCTGTTGCTGCCGTGCTTCCACATCATGGGGCGTGCATCTCCTTAAAACGTCGTTGAAAGAGTTGCTAGACTCATCTTATCCACTCTCAGCGCTTTTTGGTGAATGCCGTCTGCAGTAGGCTAGCTGTACTCTCGCAATTATATCAACCCCTTTAGTGCATCTGTATGTTGTGAAGTATATGTGATTAAGCCATAATGGCGGCATGATCTGCGCAGGTAGGATGTAAGATAATTGTGCACTTTAGGAAGTACGGCCAAATTGTTGTCCACCAACGTTAGTCGCCTCTTGTGCCGTTTGTGCTAATCTACGGGCTGTGTAGAGCAGGAATTCCGCGCTTAACCCTGCGAGGTTTGTTATCGTGTCCGTATAGCAGGTTGAGGTTAGAGCCAAATCTTGTCAAAAAGTCTTGTTAGTACTTCACTGTATCCTCCCGGACATTTGACCCAGTGGTTCATTTGTGTTTGAATAGACGTCGTAGGCGTCCTTGTTCGGAGAGATTGGGTGGGCGATCTATACCGAATCCATAAATGTCATACGTTTACGAGTCCTGCTCCTTAGATCCAACTTTATCTTTTTCTTGCGTTGAATTTTTGTTTCTATTGTGCTTACTACTAGTCTGTTGAGTCTGTTGACAAATTCCCCTAGGCCAAACCTCAAGAGGACATTCGGCTAGCAAATACCGGGTTTTTGCACAAATGAGGTCAGGCAGGTTATCATAATCGGTTACTACGTGAAATTCCTTAGTGCCTTCTTTGATATATCATGCGCGGTACATGTAGTGGAACATAAGGGTTGCATGTTCGCTGCAACCCAAAGAAATGCGCGTTGTTGCTACCTCGGTCATGAGTTCCTCATTTGGAGCAACGTGAACCCAGATGGCCGATTTGTTACCCATCCTGAAATATGTTGGAGAAGCGACAATTGTACAGCGATGCACGAGCGGTTCTGTTGCAGTTCCGTCTTGGATTGCTCACCGAGAGTGGGCGGAGTTTTTAGGCCGTCCATATTGACGCCGCTACTATTAGAACGTGGCTGTAAGATCGTGTCAGTGGATTCTTCACAGCGGAGGCTATAGCTTGGTCATTGATAAGTGATATACCTTAGCTATTAGGCATATATTGCCCTCCCTTAGGTGGCAAAATAACTAGTTACAGTTTGGCCTTCCGGTCGTTTTACGCAGTCGATTTGTAGGTCAAAACGGTAGTGAAGAATTGCGCCGCTTATTTTAATGGGGGTGGTTGTTGCGCAGGAGTGACATACCAGGTGGTGCCATTTCGACATCGATAATGACGTCGTTCAGCCATGTTTCGGTTGCCTTAATGGGGTCCCAACACATTGAGGCTTAACGAAATCGAAGCTCTGCTAATTTGCTAAGAAAGCTTTGCGCGTTTGTTTCTGCGCTTATTGGGCGGTCTGACTGTTTACGCGTCTTTACTGCTTCAGAAGGGTTTTCAATATATTTTGTCTTAGAATGCTCTCATTCCTTGTCCAGAATCTGCTTCATTATCTTGTAGAGTGTGATAAATTCGCTTTCCACGGGGTGATAAAAATTCTTTCGAACACCCTTTTTCAACCTATCTTTTAACGCTCCTAAACATCTTTCTATTTTGCTCCCAAGCTTGTTGAAGCACTTCCGTCAGCACGGGAAATCATCGTGGCATTGTTCCGGGATTTGGATCCTTCAAACCCGCATTTCATTTACTTCAAAAGAATATCGCACATAGAGCGTGATAGTTGCGATTTTCACATTATGTACAAGTGAGTCGCGCTTTCTCCCCATATGTTTTTGCACAACGATTATTAAACGTTTTCTTGCCGTTTAAATCGTGTCCTTGCTCGTTTTACGCCTACAGTCCAATCTGCTATGGCGACCACCTGTCTATGGCGACTAGCCAGAACAACTTTTTCCCACCTTTCCCCCCTATTAATGTCCCTATGCATGCACTCATCTGTGGCGACCATTTTCGTATGTCCCTTGAGTGGTCGCTTTAGACCGGTTCGACTGTATTATCCTTCATTTTGCGTTTCCTCCATGTTTTCCTTCTCCTCAAAGAACGAAATAATACTACATCTGGTCTAGGCTCCTTCACTTCTCGCAACGTACAAACGATCACTATTTACTCATTGCTTTTCAGTTTCTGGTGGTCAAATCATCGAAAAATCAGCTGCCTCTTGTGGTATGACCTCAACTTGCATTCTAACATAGTCACCTGTCAGAAACGAAACATTAGCTTGTTGCCCTGCGATATGGTACTTGATGTGCTACAGTCATCTTCTTGTACGGTTCAGTATATGACTCCTTAGAATCACCGACCAGCTGGGGTGGCGATTGGTGTTGAGCGAGCAACATCAAATCTCCTCCACCTCGAGCGATTGCTGCTCGCCTTTTTCCACCATCATTCACGTAGGTTTGCTGATATCTGGCTTTAATATTGTCTACACACCATACTGTTCACCTGACAGGCTAACAGTACTTGGTTACAGATGATTTTACATCTCATTAAACCTGTCTGGGTTCGGTTACACTTCTGAAATTACCTCTAAACCGTGACGGAGTATTCCAGGCGTTTGGCTCTTAGCCGATGAGTCACCGAATCGAGGCTAATAAATGCAAATGACTTCACGATATTCTGGCCATCATATCACCGGCATTGTTTGCGTGATAGCGTGGTCTAGGTATACGGTTCCGTCCCACTGCTGGCGCTTTTCGCCGCGTTTATCTCACCCAGTTTTGATCCTTTTGAGTGGGAAGTTGGGCACCCCTAGGTCGTATTTGCAGCTTTTGTCATTTGCAATGTATGCTGTCCGGCGACAGCAGCTGACCACACTTGGAGTAAAGTCTATTCCGTTAAGAACAGAGTGTGAAACCGCAGTTAGGAGGAGGAGTTCTACTTGAGATGGCTCGAATGTTCGTCCTTCATCTTGTCTTAGCCCAGTATCGTATAAATCGCTTGAACACAGATAGACCAATAATTTGTCCTGGTTTCAGAGTTTGGCCTTACACTGAACCCTTTCACATCCCACTTCGGTTGGGTCACCTTTCTCATGTGCCTCCCGTCACCGTTTCGTTTTGTGTAGTTTACCAGCAGTTCGGTGAATTAGCTTAAACCCCGGTGTGACCAGGTGACGACATGCTAAAGTTGTAGCACCTGGTCTTCCATGGGGTTGACCAAATAACTTTTTACGAACTTCGTCTGCAGTTGTGCGACATTCTTGCATGCAGTCTTATTCAGCTGGTGTTAGTCTATGCTTTCACCATTTTATTTTTCTTACATTGTGCTCACCTTTTCCATTTTTATTCCACTGTTACTTTTATCACCGTCTTGGAACAAGGTAGGTGAAATCACCAGTCCGGCATTCGGTTTGTGTTTGACAACTTGAATCAACTGCATTACTTTCGGTCTAGCTATCAGTCTTAAGGAAATTTTTGTGAGGTTACATCTCAGTGATAGTAGAAAAACTCTTGTGCTAAAAAATATCAGATCGTATGTACATAGTCAAGTTGAGAAGGTCATAAGATCTTTGTTTTTTTTCTGTCATTTAGTTAACATCCTTAGATTCCGTTAAAGCAGTTATTCAGCTCTACCTTCTGTCGTGTCAGTTCCTTATTTCCACTAAAATCTCAGCCCTGATCCTTTCATCATTGGGGCCTTAAACCTGGCGCACCGATTTCACTTGGGTCACGTTGTTAAAGGTCACTGCTCTTTATTTTCACGCTTCCCTTCAATCCGCCTGTTGCTGTGAATGGTGGTCGCACTTCCCAACTCACACTGCACTGACTGCATTTAGAGTATCTGAATTTGATCGTTTTACAATTGACACGTGTAAAATCCCCAAACTTTGCGAGCGAGCGAGCAATGCCCAACATCCACTTCAGTATACTTTTATTTGTTTTCATGTTTTGTCTACGTTTTTTAGCGTTGATGAAGAAACCGATCGTATGACTCACAAGGAAGCATTGGCAAGTTGCCATTTCATTCTGTTTTTCGATTCTTAGCTAATTTGGATTTGCAAAATTACTTTCACCTTGAGGTTTTACTATCAACTAAGTGCACGATTTGCTTGGTGCGAAAGCTGTAAGTTGATGCTTAGGTTTCACGCATCCGTCGACCGAAGTGGTGTTCATGTAATCCTGTGAGTTCATTCCTCTTCATCTCATGTTACGTTGATCTTCTCCACGGGCTCATTTGGTTTGGGATGTTACTCAACAGCCATTACCACTCTAATTCCGAGAGTACACACTGAAATACACTAAATGCTCAACAAGACGAAATCCTATGTGCGTCTCTGCGTTATGTACCACTTTCGGTTGTCATTTATATCCTCTTAGATTCATCTGTAATTTCGTCAAATTTATCGGGTAACATTCAGGCCTGTAACACACCACATGCACTGTCAGATTGTAATTTGTAGCCGCACACTAACCCCTACAAAGTCCCGCTAGTACTGTACGGTAATTGAACGCGCTGACGGGAACTAGCAATATTTTTGGTACTTGTATGCAGAGTGCACGCTTCCAAACGGACTCTAATTGCGACATCCGTGACAGAATAGCTTCCGTTTTGCTGGAGTCACAGGCGATCGTTGCACGTTCAGTTTGCAGCCGAACATGTTAACTTCCACGATTGCGTTGCGACTGGCGAAATTCGCACGGTCCATTAGTTATGGTCAGCACTAGTAAGTTGATCGTCAGCTGCATAGATTACGACGAGTTGGACGCGTTCCACACATATCCTGCACTTAGTGAGTTAGGTTTCACTTAAGCAAATGCAGGTTCTAGTGATCTCTAGCCTGTGGAATCAACGCATGGATGAAGGTGCCAAGCGACAGGCTGATGTTGTATCTCGAAAAAGCAGCAGACCAGAGCAGCACCGCAACGTATGTATGGAGGGAACTGTCCACACACACGCGCGGTAATTAAATCGATGGAGGTTCGCTTTGCAATCAATCAAATGCAAGATCACATGATAGGCCAACGAGTGCTAAATGGAAGTGTGAGTAGGGTAAGCGAGTCGCGGGCAAAATCAAAGCAAAGTATTTGAACACGACAGCTGAGAACAGTTTGTCCGTTTTTTATATATAATACTGAGCACTGTCATCGCATTTTACGCCCAGCCTCTTGTTTTACAAGGTGATATTTTCAACACAACCTCTGATTAGAGCCGCTTTGTGACAACGAAAGATGAAAATGGATCCTTAAGTTGTTTTCCTGTTATATAGTGAATGATCGTTTAAGATATCTTCATCTTCATTTTTTACTGGCAGCAGTAGTTCACTATTAACCCTTCGCCACATACTCCTCTTCAGTGCTTATGATTATATTGTGTTTCTGGCACAGTAACGAAGTCAATGGGGCTTTTGCTTTCCCCCTCCTATTTCTGATCATTAGCCAATCTATATGAAGATTTTACATTTGGTTCATTCCTCTTGACTTGAATCGAGGCAATTAAACCCATTGCACCTCAACCCACGGACCGGAGCTTGTCAGTTAAGTTGAATGTGGCACATGGTGTAACTTTCTAATTACAAGCTATGGGTGCTTTTATTTGTCTTGTTTTTACTATTGCTATTCTTAATGCATTGTCCTGTAAATCTCTACCTTTTATCTCTGGGGAAATTCCTTTATAATCTGAGCATCACCGTGCCGAATCGACTCCGTTCATTTATGCGGTTCCCTTCCCTTTCTTCCAGACGCAGAAGATTAGTGAGATCACGATTCTGAAGAACGCGAGTCTGGAAGCCATTCATACCTGGGTGAAACGCAAGTGCACTGTTCCAGTGCGTGAGATCACCTTTGAGAATGCGGAGGAGATCACGGAGGAAGGCAAACCCCTTATGCTCTTATTCTATGATGAGAAATCGGCGAATCTGAAGTCTATATACCACGATTTGATCAAACAAAAGTTCGCTGACGAAATATGTGAGTTTTGCAACTGTCGCGGTTAAACACGCATCAATTACAGTGTTTTTGCAGAGTGTGTTGAACTAATGTCACTTTTAAATGTTCTATAAAAAACATAATCATTACCTCCTGTATTATGTGCTGACGAGTGCCGATGAGTTTTAAGGTCAGTACTATGCTAAATCCAATTACATCGCACTAACTATATATAAATAACGCCACTTCGCCTTATAGACCTAAACTATTCGCACGGTCTAGGTAGAAAACGGTTGATGCATATTTTTTAATATAACCCTGTTACCGTCGTTCTAGAAGGTTAAATTATGTGCAAAGTGAACCCACCACTCGGTTTGCAAAGTGCGGAAAATGGGCGGAAATAAATATTCGTAAAAGCAATGTTAGTAGTGGACTGATGGAGATGTGACTGAGATATAATACGCATGCGAATGGATAACGATACTCGTTCGAGAATGTAATGGTCTAAAGTTGGAATAAGGTCTGGAATATAGACACTAAGTCATCGAGTGGGGGAACTAATCTCGGGCATGCAATTAAAGTTCCTTCGGAATTTATGGGGTTTATGAGTTTCTACCCTTCCGAAGGAGCAGTTTGTGACCGTTTCGTCCCATTAGGTCTCATCAGTGACGTCAGTCCATCTCTGGTCCCACCCCTTAAGCCTCTTCGCTTCCTTCTCTACGAACCAACGACTTGAAACACCTTAAAAGTACTATCGGGTGTGGTGTATGTATCGGGGGAATAATGAAAGCCATCGCACCATGTTATGGTCTTTCCCATTCACCATGGATTTAGTGGTCCTTGGCAAGCTGTTTTACAAACGACTGTCCACTTACCTCCCGCCTACAAGCGAGAATTTCACCCTAGAGATGTTACATCCACTTCTGCTTGTTGGTTGCCTCGTCAACAGCATGGATGCAGTCAATATCATATTAGCCATTTTGGAACCAGAGTACGCGTCGATTTAAGGCATCAGGCGTGTACAATTTTATTCTACTCTTCTCGGTTTAAAGCAAGAGAGCTGAACTCAGGTGTCCTTATAGGGTAGATTACTGACGATGGTATAAAATCAGTGATACGGTCGTTCCTAAAACACTGTCCTACTGCTATGTTCCTAAGTGCGATCATTAGGAATACAAGGTTAACAGATGGAGAACGGGAATGGAAGCACTGACATTGGCCCCTTCTCCTTGTCTCACCTCACGTACGGCAGTTGGAGTAGTCAGATTAGGTTCAATTCAACGCAATAATCGCATGGTTATTTACTGAGCCGATCATCCAACTAGTTCGTACTGCTGTTTTGGGCTAGCTTTAAGCGCGAGTCACTTGAACTTTGTTTCTAGAGAAACGAGTAGGTGTCCATCTGTTGAGAACACGACGCGGCGCAGACGGGTATGTATGTTGGAGCACCAGCGTCTAGGTATTATAATAATTCGAACATGAAAACTCAGACGCACTTTCGTCGTTGTACTTTTCTACCGCCGTTCTGCTACGCGTTATCACTCACAACGTATCAGCTGAGGTAGATTTCTCCACTACTCATCTTTCGTCCGGCAATCCACGATTTTCCTGTGCCTCCTTGTGTCCACACATACTGCTCACTAGTAGTGCGCCACACGACTTTTTCGACTGACCATCCCAGAGCCGCATATGCTCTCTTGCTTTGTAATACTAACTTCTCTAAGCATATACTCGATAATTTTCCCATGCAAGTGTGCATTGCCGGTTTGGTCGTTCTACCCGGGACTGGCAGTATGACATGTTCCCTCCCACCTTCTGCTTCACTGAATTACTGTCACATCACTCAAAGAGTTCCAAGGACCAACGATACGCCACCCTTCCTCAAGAGGTTCTCATCGCACTTCGTTACTTTTGATTTTTGTGCGATACCGCTTACTCCCCGGCTTGGTACTCCAAACGAGCGGCACGAGTACTGTCGAGTACTGTCGGTTCTGTTTCAAACAACTCTGTGCCTCCCAAACTTTGACTTATCGGATTTATTGTATGGACATGCGTCGAACCGATAGTTACTAGCTAACATCGAACCTGACTTTCATATCTTTCCGCCTTGGATGGATATGCACGATCTACAGCCGGTGATACACTATGCATAGATATGTATCCTATCCTCATTCGACATTTGTCAGTATGCAACACGTGCTTTACTTCATAACTCCACGTGCCTTTCGGTATCATGATCTTTCCAAGAAGTTCAGCACATTTCAGTCACCCATGGACTAGTTCACTCTGAGCTGTTCGCGGATGCCACGTCCACTCGATCTTCAAGCATCAATTCAACTGTCTACCCATCCGCATTTTATGCCAGGCCTGTTCATGGGTCTTAGGTTCACGCATTTTTGATACTCAAAAATAAGCCGGGCGCTACGCTGTTATAGTGATACATGTAAGTCAGCGCTCACTCGTTCTCTCTTAGCACTCGCAAAAGTCGATTTGAAGCGAACTCAAGGTTTCAACTATATGACGCGTCTAGAGTATGAAGACTCAAACTTCAAAGTTGATTGTGGTTTGGCACTCGGCTCCTCCATTTGAGTCTCACGGACCACGAACACGCATGACACGAAACGTTATCGGATATATTAGGACCTTGTACTCTACCGCGAAGGCCTTAGTCCCTTAATTACAGTTTTACAGTATATATATATATATATATATATATATATATATGTTGCATTCATGATGCTTCTTCACCGCAGTTGGGCTAAACCAATTTGCACTTAATCTGGGTCTCTTTTTAAGCTGGATAAATTTCATTCAACTTCATTTGATTTGTTCTGCCTACCGAAATAATCTTCTATTAAATTTCCACGTTGCTTACGGAAATTTTGCTTATCTTCATTAACCTTATTACGTTTGTAGCATTTTCTGAGCCACTTCTGGACATTTTTTTACATATCGCGGATTCGTTGCTAACCAACGCACTTCATGTGCTAATTTAGGGAAGAGTTATATCTGCATAGTGGTATTTTTGAACAGATACATTTTATTTGTTACTGTCATTTCAAGTGACTGGCTGTTGTTTGACATCCCCGGTGCGGCTGTGCTTGATGTGCATGTTGACAAGATGTCTACCTGTCTATTACCCACTACCTCGTCCATACTGTCTCTAGGAGATAGTTGGACGTTGCTGGAGGGGACGGGGTGCACGGTCCTTGTGGTCGCGCTAGGCTCGAAGAGCGGTTCCATGCACTCAGTGTGGAGTGGACTACGTTCCAGCCACCGCCTTGTGTGCGCTGGATTTCCCAAATACAGCGTACTTGTGTTTGCCTGTGAAGGAGTGTGGGCCGGCTCCGTTGATGGAACGTGGCTCCCATCCACATGACTCTCGGTCTTATTCCTTCGGGTTTCCACTGGATATGGGGTGTGTGGTTGTAGCTATGGGTGGTGCAGCACAAGCCACCCAGGGTGACTCTGTAGACGCAGGCATCCTGTGGTTATCCCCATGGAGGTTACAGTGACAGACAAATTCGGATACGCATGCCGCCAATCCATATATATATATATATATATATATATATATATATATATATATATATATATATATATATATATATATAAGACTGGGAAGCATGTGGGTGGGAGCCAGGTCTCATCATTATCAACATGCAGAACAGAAGCATTCCGACCTAATTGGGGAATTATGCATACCAGACGTACACATGGCGGTGGCTGGACCGTAGCCCGTTCCTCACAGTATGGAACCAATTTTTGAACCTTGCACAGTCACGAGGACAGTGCATCCTGTCCTCTCCAGCAACGACCAACGGTCTCCTGGAGCCAGTATTGACGAGGTCGTGGGTAATAGACAGGCGCAGCCACACTGGGGAGCTCAAAAACATCTAGTTCTGAAATGCAAGATTATTCATCACGCAGGCAAACATGCCGCCTTATTGACGACCTGCATTAGTAAATCGAATTTTAGCGTACCCATCCTGTTTTCCGGGGAAATTTCTCTTCGAACGCATAGTCCATGGTCACGCGAGGGACTATCGTTGATCATTATGTTTCAAATGTCAAACTTTACACTTTATGCTTACTGTAAGCGGTCAAGCGCTGGTGACCTTTTGATTCAAGCGTATCCATCGAACTGGAAACATACTCAGTAATTTGCCACCCTAGCATTTATCTGTATCAACCACACAATCCGCTCGGAAACTCTGCGCGCACAAATGAGCTCATGGATGGACCGACCAATTCTTCTGCGATGCACCGACTCTCTAAGCGTCGTGCTAGTTAGCATTGGGCAACTGCTCAAGCTAGGGTCATGTGATCTACAAATCATTTTCAAGGAGCAGAATGTAGATAGCATAATCTGGTGAGTAATGCCCTGGAGCTTATATAATTGTGTGAACCGCAGCCGAATAATAATACAAAGAGGAAGATACCGTAGCTCACCGTCTCGATATGTCACCATACTAGACTCCACTCGAGAAGCTAGCAAGAATAGCATAGACCATGATCAGTACACCATTGTAATGGACAACACGTGAAGTCATCGCGAAATACAACCGAGTTAAGTACTCCCTATAGAGGTAGGTTAGCTGTGACTTCTCCGTTCTAGGCAGGTGCAATAAATATACTACATTACACCAAGTCAGTGGTTAATCATTCTAGAATGAAACTTTACCCAAGCGCGACTTACTTGCAGGATGACACAAAGAGAGTGACGGAGATGGAGTAGGCAACTTTTCAAGTTAGCAGGGAAATGATGCGATTAAGTCCCCTGCTATTCATAAGCTCAGCAAAGTTAAAGTCCGCGGTGAGAGAACGGGATTTATATCTATGCTCACTTTAACCAAGAAGTAGAAACACAATTGAACAATGATGACTAATCGTTGATGTGTCCTGTGAATGTTGTCTCTTATATTACTAACTTCAGGCTATATATATATATATATATATATATATATATATTGCTGTTTGTAGCAGTAGCAGTACGGGCATTCGACACCAAATGCCTTTAGTTTCATGCAGTGTTATGCGTT